GAAACTTGCATAGTATTATATTAATTTAAAATTTAAATCAATTTCTAAAATAGTCATAAGTGATAATATTATATACCAGGAGTCTAATAGCAGAGCGAAATCAACACAACGGTAGCTCGTGAATAAGACAGATAATTAAAAAAAAACGAGATAATCACAATCTTATTGCATCTTCTAAACATGGACCCAACCTATTAACTAATCAGAACGCAAGGCAGCTAAGGCCTCAGTTCAAGTGATTAACACGCCCACTTCGTTTCCTTGCTCACTCGCATCTGCACTCGCTTTTTGCTTACGATTGCACCGCCCAAATTAATTACCGACGGCAAATTTAGGCCTAAACAGAATATTGCGCTTCGAAAAAATGCCGCTTCTTAGATCTTCGAACGCGGAGACATTTCCATTAATACGCAATATAATACATCCTTTGTTGATGATGAGGAACAGGTTATAAATAAGGTATCAAGGAGACAAAAAAGACGTGTATGAAATCTTCCATACACGGAGAAATTGTAAACAAAGTCGATAGCTCCGAAAAATTAATGAATGAAATTAAGGAAATGTTTAAAACACTCCAATCTCAATAAATCGTAAAATTCTTTGCTCTTGATTCGGCCATCCAAATTGTTGTTCAACAAAACCAATACTTTCAAAAATTGGTTGATTTCATGTCAAAACCGTACGATGAATTGCTACAACTTATGATTGTGCTGGAACAAGAAAATCTGCACTATAAGAAATATGTAAAAGAATTAGAACACAAACTTGATTATCTTGAAGTGAAGTTCTAAGCAAGACAATGAGAACCAACAAACTTTCTTAAACATCTTAAAAAACTTTAGTTCAATTATTCAGTTAGAACCCAATCTACAAGACGCAGAAATAAGAGATATATATCGTACTAAAACGCAAACTATTATCATTGACAAGTCGGAAAGAAGTTTTTCTTAAAAAATTTAAGGAATACAATGAAACAAATAAAGAAAAGAATGAATGGAAATTAAATACATCGAACCTATTTATAAACTGAGTAAAAAAAATATTTATATTACGGAATTTTTGACATCCAAAGCCAGACAAGGGCTACTTGGCAAGAAAGTTACATAGGTCGAAAAAAATTGTTGCGTGTTGGACGGCGTTTGGAAAGGTGTACGCACATAAAGAAGAAGGAAAACCTGCTACAAGAATAGAAAAAGAAGAAGATATACTAAGATATAATTTTATCTAGATATCACATTTAATATATAGTAAGCGCTTACATTATTTAATACAACCTCATAATGAATAAATAAATATATTCTTTATTTGTCACAAATCTTGTAAGAATTAAATGGAACCCTGGTTTCTAAACTAGTTGTATAACTATATCTTAGAAACCAGTGCTCTTCGATAAATAGAATTCGGTTAAGAATTAACTAACATGCAGTAAACGAAAATAAAGGAATGAGAAAGAAGTGCTGTGTGGATAGTATTCGTGCGCGCGCGCGCGCGTTTTTCTCCTTCTCTCTCTCTCTCTCTCTCTCTCTCTCTCTCTCTCTCTCTCTCTCTGTGTGTGTGTATGTGAGTGTGTGTGTGTGTGTGTGAGTGTGTGTGTGTGTGTGTGTGTGTGTCTGTGTGTGTGTGTGTGTGTGTGTGTGTGTGTGTGTGTGTGTGTGTGTGTGTGTGTGTGTGTGTGTGTGTATGTGTGTGTGTGTGTGTGTGTGTGTGTGTGTGGATGGTTTAGATTCACAATTGGATTCGGTAGGTGACGCTGTTGTCGAAATCCAGAAACCACTAGTACGAAGCCAAGGCAGATAACAAGTACAGGCACCGCACAAGGGAATAATGTGTACTGGATGCTGAGTAAATAAATTATGATCCACGCGCTTCCATAGATGACATAAGCATACGCCAACCTATAGGTTCTGAAAATAAATTAACAACATCAATAACAGAAAATTTTAAACATACGTGAAAATGAAAGATTGAATTATTAAGATATCCATCAAAAGAGCCAACGCCACAATAAATAGCAACAGTGAATATTTTAAACTGAATTATTCCAAGACCACGAATTCCACATTCATAATCATCATCATCATCACAGCCCTTCATAACCCCACTACTGAAAATAGGCCTCCCCCAAGGAATGCCCCAAAGCACGGTCCTGAGCCAACTGCATCCATCGACTTCCTGCATGTCTTACCAGGTCGTCACTCCATCTAGTGGCGGCTCGCCCTACACTTCGCCTACCGGTACGAGGCTGCCACTCGAGAACCTTTCTTACCTATCGGTTGTCAGTTCTTCGAGCTATATGGTCGGCCCATTGCAACTTCAGGTTACTAATCCGTTGGGCTATGTCGGTTACTCTGGTTCTACTGCGGATATCCTCATTTCTAAGTTTATCACGCAGAGAAATCCCGAGCATAGCCCTCTCCATAGCTCCCTGAGCGACCTGAAGCTTCCTCATACGGCCAGCAGTGAAGGGCCACATAAGTCATCACTGGCAACACGCACTGGTTGTACAATTTCGTTTTCAGGTTTTGAGGTATACCTGACTAGAAGATGTGTCGTAGTTTCCCGAACGCTGCCCAGCCGAGTTGAATCCGTCGGGTGTGTTGCGTCTATAGTGAAAACTTATATATACGCATATAATATATACATACACATACACACACACACACACACACATATATATATATATATATATATATATATATATATATATATATATATATATATATATTATATATATATATATATATATATATATATATATATATATATATATATATATATATATATATATATATATATATATATATATAGTATGTACATAATATACTTAATGTATGTACGTAGGATGATGTTACTATACACTTAGAGTAAATTTTCAGCTTCTTCATAATTTAGTAATAGTAAGTACTTAGTTATTACTGATTTAAAAGATTATTGATTCAATTTGTTAATTTTTAGTTCTTCATTGATAATTTTATAAATATGAAGTGCTAGAAAATCATATTGGCTTCGAGCAAGGGCACTTCTAACAAGAGTTAATAGGGTTCGGTATCGGCGTTCGAGAACATTGGGTTGTGACCGTGGATTTTTTTTAAACTACACTAAGATTTTCTCCTGTATCGTGGAGGCAGGTTACAAACACAAATTGCACAAGGACAAACATCCAGACCCGGAACAATTATTTGTAGGCCATACAAATACTTATTCCGTGCGGGATTCGAACCCGCGGCCCCCAGCGCAGCAACTCGTTGCTAAGCCACAGCACCACGGAGCCGTCAAAAAAAATTGAGCGATGATATCTTCTTATAATTTGTTTAATAAATAGCTTTCTAATGCTAAGTACCTGGGCGTTTTGGTAAAGTTCAGTTCAGTTGCTTCAGTTGAATAGCAAAAAAGGAGCTTAAACATAACTTTCAGCAATTTTCTTTGAACATTATAATACAATATCCTCATACCATGTCACATACATACTATATCACACAAAAACCTTCTCTGTTGTTTGTTAAGCTGAATAAAAAATATATTTGTATGCTACTTTTATGGATTTATCAACTAATATTACAATAAAATAATAATTACAATCAAAAACATAATTATAATGATTATCCTCTATAGTTTACATAAAATCATACATGAACTTAAATTGCGAATCACATACACTACATTTACTAAATTATTTTAATTTTATACTACATTTTATAATTAAATTTGAATTTATACACTTTTTTGCCCTCATTCCTTATAAATAATATGCGTAAAATATTCAGATTAAACAAAATATTAATTATATAAATGCTGCTCTTCTATATCCTATATCCTAGTATCTTTAAATAATATTATCATACTACATACCATTTTAAAAATATTTATCTTTCGTTATCTTATAAATATACATTTTTGTGGTTTCTATATTTCGTAATATATATAGTTTTTATCAATAACATTTAGTAATCTTAAAAAATAAATAATAATTTAGATAATTTGGCTGAAGCCTAGTTCCTTTACACTCGATAATATAGAAGATTGTCCGTGTCCAATTTCTTACTTAAATTTTTCAATAAAAATATTGTGTCAAAATATAAGAAATATTCAACGAAATATGTCAAACTTTCTCACTATACTTGACAAAAGCATCGTGACTTACGATATTATGGTTTTAACGCAATGTTGGCTTTCTCATTCGCCCTATATAGTACCCATCAGAATTGGTTAATACTCTTGTAACACTTTAAATAATAATTTACAAAATGAGGGTGTAGTCGTATACTATAAACAAAATCTTATAACAGTGCAAGAGTCTGAGTTATTTGATGCAAACTCTCTGAAAATAAATTCAAAAATCGATATCTTGGCCATTTATAGGCCACCATATAACTATAGTAGAAACAGGTTTATAACAACTCACACAATCCCACACCTGTCTTGATCAGTTTTTAATAAAATCTAAAGGGAATGCATATTGTTAAAACATCAATTACAGATCACTTTACCACCATCCTTTACTTAGATACTAATTTAATAACTTGTTCAAGACTCAAAACAATTAAAAAATAGATTACACTTCTTTAGCAACAATTATTAAACATTTTAATTTTAGCCCGATTGACACCTTAAGTAACATTATAAAAACCAACACCAAAACTAATAAAATTTCTAATCGTAAATTAATCATAAAACCATGGATGAACACCCGGACTTTTGAAAAGCACGAGCAACAGAGATAAACTACATTAAAAATATAAAAACAATATTGAAGTCTTAAAAGTGCATGATATAGGAATTACTGCAATAAAATACTAAGGAGACTTAAAACGGAATACGAGAAATCTGAATTACAAAAGGCGAAACTGAGCAATAAGAAATTATGGGATACTATGAAATTATAACAAACACAAAAAACAAACAGTGACCCCATCTGAGTTAAAAAAAAGTTAGTGGTGCAAACCCAATAGATACTGTTAACTCTGTAAACCAGTTCTTTTTTAATATCGGTAAGACATTAGCTGAAAATATATTGAATAATGATACTACTATAACCTCTACTAGCAATTATAACTCTACTCCTTCTTTATTTGTATTCCTACCAACTACAGAATCCGAAGTACTAGACATCATTTTAAACTTAAAATCCGATTTCGCAGTAGGCCTTGATAATATATCAACAAGTTTTCTATACTTGTAAATAAAATTACTCCCCAAAAATATTTAACTGTAATTATGTTATTAATTTAAGGCAAAACAAAATCAAGTTTAATGCACCTGTTAATGACTTCACGGACACTCCCCTACGAATTTTGAATTCTGCTGATAGCTCACGTTACCGAACTGTAACTACTTCAATGAATTAATTGTTTAAAAAAGTTTTTAAATTGATTTTAATACGAAATTTATTCCTTGGTAGGAGATTTAACCTATCCAAGTTTTCTGTCATACAAATTTAATAACTGCTAAAGTGAAAATACTGCTAAAAAGAATTTAATTAAAACTTAACCAAATATCCATTATAGAATTACTCGTCAAGTAAAATTCTCTTGGCTTAAAGTCGATATGATCATTTGTTCTCGAGTTTATCGGACATGGGGTGTATGAAAAAGAAGAGATTTGTTGTCATTTCAAATTCCAAAAATCGGATGAATTATAGCAAAATTAATTCAACAGGAAAGTTAAAATCTATGCCTTATCATTCACTTTGAATTATAACCGTCGTAAAAACTAGTCTTATTATGTAATCATTTATAAAGAGTGTCACGGTAGTTTATATACTAGTGCAGTAGATGCCAACAAGGTTTTTGTGATTATTTTTTATACTTGGTAAAGATTGAGAACGTAACATAGATTTTTCATTTTTAAATAAAGGATTCCTTTATAAATCAATACCACTACAACTGCAAGTATATTCAAAATATTACTACTATCCCAAAGCCAAACAATAAATTAATACATTTTTGAATTATGCACTCAATTTTAATTTCTTTGTTACAGGAAACCAAGCTACACAGTTCTTCTTGTGATGTCGATAATATGGTTAATGAACGTAAAGGGAGCGGAAATTACATGTCCAAGCGAATGTACGTGCCGTACAGCATTTGACCCTGAATTGGGTCATATATTACGTATAGTGTGCTCAAAAGGAGGCATGCACAGTATACCTGTAGAATTTTTTGATCGTAATGCTAAAGTAATTGTTATATCGGCCCCAAAAGATCATCCAAACTATCTTACTATTGGCCCAATATTTACTCAACCGACTCCGTTCGTCAATCTTCGAGAATTGCACATCGTTAACTCTAACGTACCTTCTATTGGACAGTATTCATTTTGGGGTCTCCAGCATTTAAGACTGATTAACCTTACATACAACAATCTAACAAGCATCGGAGCTGATAACTTTAGAGGACTTATTAATCTTATAGAACTAAATCTAGACCATAATAATATAGAACATATGCCTAGTGAAACTTTCAGGCATTTAACAGCACTTAATAAGTTGATTTTATCAAATAACCAAATATCTACTTTGGTGCCAAGACTTTTTCGGATGTTAGCAAAATTAACATTTTTGGATCTCAGTGATAACCCTTTAGAAGATTTGAATCCAGAAGTATTCAAGGATATACAGCGTTTAAGGGTATTTAAGTGTAGACGATGCCTTTTGAGATTAATCAATACCCAAATTTACCATCTAGTTGCTCATTTGGAGGAATTGGATTTGGGCGAAAACCAGTTTAAATATTTAACTTCTGATGAATTTATCAGTCTAAAAAAACTTAAGAAATTAAGATTAGATGGCAACCAACTCTCGGTAATTGTAGACAATATGTTTGGAAGAAATCGTGAACTACGACTATTAACCCTGGCACATAACCGATTAGCATTACTAGCACCTGCTGCTCTTACAAATTTAAGTTCCCTTGTTCATTTAGACATAAGTCACAATAAAATAGATAGATTTCATTTGCAGACATTTGCACCAGTTGTAGAAACATTGAAAACTATTAATTTCAGTGGTAACAATCTACCATTGAAAGAAATCGCTATTGTATTACAGATTTTGCCAGAAATACATAACGTTGGCTTAGCGAATTTATCTTTGGAAGAAATTCCTCCAAATTTTTTTATTTATAATTATCATATTGTTGGATTAGATCTATCATGGAATAAACTTACAAAGTTTCCTTACAAGCTACTTACTAAAACGAAATTCCTTCAACGTTTAGATCTGTCGCGTAACAAAATTCAAGGTTTAGATGAAGAAGATTTACAAAGACTTGAAGCAATAGCTCATGTGGATTTATCAAAAAATAGTTGGCGTTGCGATCAGTGCTCTGTTGGAACAATGCTTGTATTTATGACAACCACTGTCCTTAATAGCACCATTCGACAACTTGTTTGTTATTCGCCTTTAAGATTGCGCGGAACGAAATTTGCTAATTTAACATTCAATGTGTTGGATCCATGTCCAAGTACATACGAAGCACAGATGAGCGTAATTGCAGGACTAATGCTTCTCTGCATCGCAGTCTTGGCAGCGGCTGCAGCTGTATTATGTTGTTCAAGGCGTCGTGCTGCCCATTACTATACAAATGAAGCAAAACGTAGAGAACGCGAACATGAACATCCAGAAGAATTGATAAGTCATACTGAAGTTGGTAGCGTAGCCACAATTCACGCCCCTTATCATATGGTGCCTAAAAGCAGCTAACAACACGCCCGCACTCCGACTGTTACGCAACGGACGCCACGCGTCACATTTGATCCGGCATTGCCATCAGTTATGTACTATGATGATTCAAGCTCTTCACCGATGCCATATTTTCTTGCACGTTCTTCGTTACATGCTTCAAGAGATATTATATGATACGAGGAAGATGATCTGGTGTAAATCTAAAGAACTGAAATGGACTAGTTGATAAATTATTATAATCAATCTAAATTTAAACTAATTAAAATAATACAAACGAAGAATATTTTTATATTTGTAGAAATTTACATGTACCATAATGTAATGTTATTTAAGATGCTATAAACTCAAAATTGAAATTAGTAACTATCCATAAAAGACTTCTCAAAATGTAAGAGTAGGGTAAAATATATTAAATTGTGAATTACTTACACAATTATTATAAGCTTATTTTAAAAACAAAATTAACAATTTAATCAACACACAATACACACGTACATGATTATTTTAAGTATTTATTTTTATATTTTCTGGTATTATTTGTTTTTGAATTATGAATATGTGGCGGTGCTGTCGTCGCGCCACAAGCGAATAAACATCGAAGCCTAAATCGTGCTAACAAAGTTCCGAAGTAAAATCAGTATATATAATAGCTTCAAACTACCACTCGGAGCGTTGGCCGCTCCCCTGACAGAACACCTGGCCCGGCGGGAGAATCTCCCCTTTTCCTTTCACGGCCAAAAATATGCTTTATTAAATAACAAATACAGTCTTAATTAAATAAAATATCTATATAAATTTTCCATTATACTTTTTAGTGTTTATTAAAGATGTATTATATAATTAATGTAAAATTAAAAAATACAAGCAGTTATAAATACTTAAATAATAATAATAATATAATAATAGCCAAAAAAGTTAAATGAAGGATTCAATTTATCTAGAGGGTATCATTAAAAATTGTTTCTATCTTCTTTTTAAAATTATACGTATGTATAGATTTCAGACATAATAATAATAAAATAGGTAATAAAATAATGAACAATACTCACAATGTTAAAATATTTAGAATAACTAATGTTAATTGTTTACAAGCATGCATATGTAAACATATGCAACATGGATGTGAGGTACTAGATTAAAGTGATTGGATGGTTTAATATTTGCTAATATATTCATGATTATGATAATTTGATTTAATGATTTATATAAAAATAAGGAAAACTGTAAACAAAGTGGAAATTATTTTGCCGTCCTTGATGATTCTTTAATAATTATAATTATCATTCATCAAAATTATCTTCATAATTTGTAACGAATCTATATTTTACATTTTTTTTATGAAAAATACGAATGCTATGACTTTTTAATTAAGTTGCTCTTCGTCTTCCATTATATTTTTTGTACTTACCACAAAATTTTGGAAAAAAAATATTATTATGTATTATTTCTTGCTATGTTTACTCTATGCTATCTACAAATTATTTGTCAATAATAAAATTCAACATTCTTTTTCTACTATTACCATTAAAAGTAAACAAATACCAAATTATATTATATTTTATGCACACAAATTGTTCATAATTTTTATAACTTATAATATATTGGAATATAGTAATGTAATTAATTATAGAATAGCATAAGATAACCGTTAGTAATAGTCGGTAATAATAAAAGAAAAATATATAATGCAACTAAAGAGTTATTAGTTGTAAAACAACACAATTTTTTAATGGTTATATCTAACGCACATGTATACACAGTGCTGAAATTAATTTATAAATTATTAGTGTATAATTAAGATAAATAAGATAATGGTTAAACTTCTTAGGCATGAAATAGGTAAGATAGATGTTGATTTTAGAGACACTAAGAAAAACTACCTAATAATAGACTTCGTTCATTATGTACTTCTACAATCCGATGCCGACAAAACCAAGCCGAGGAAAAAAATATTACACACATAATATTTTAAATATATAATTTCAACAATACTTATGGAATCGTACTAAGCAATGTTGAATATGGGTAGGTATGTGTAAGGATGATATATATATATATAATGCTAATATTTAAACACTATTCATCAATAATAAAATTCAACATTTTATTTCTACTATTCAAAGGTAAACAAATACCAAATTATATATTATATGCACACAAGTATTTATGATTTTTATAACTTATAATATATTGAAAAACAATCATATAATCAATTAGAGAATAGCATAAGATAACCGTTAATAATAGTTAGGTAATAATAAAAGCAAAATATTTTATACAACTAATAACTCTTTAGTTTCATTAGAAAAACTAAAGAGTTATTAGTGCTAGAATTAATTTATAAATTATAAGTGTTTAGCTACGATTAATAAGATAAAGGTTAAACCTCTTAGATAGGAAATAGGTAAGAAAGATATTATTACTCACATAATACTTTAGATTATTAACTACCACAATGCTTAAAGAATCCAACTAAGAAATGTTGAATATGGGTAGGTTTGCGTAAGGACGACATATATAACGAAAATGATGGTTTTATAGAACAAATAATAAAACTTTTTCAATATGATACTAAATAAAAAGAAATGAGGTTTTGGTTTCGGTAATTAATAAGGAAGAAAACTTACAACGGGAGATACAAGTAAGTGTTGAAGATAAATCTCTCACATACCTTTGATTAAGGTGTCCAGTAAAAAGTGGTCTAGACTCCAGGTGTACATTGGTATATACAAAACATCCTGTAAGGTAATTTTTCATTTTAGAAATTTAGTAACCTGTTACGATATTTTAACGCCATACCCAATGTTAGTTTGAATTAAAAAGATAGATTAAATTAAATGATTTTTTTAAATAAATTTCCTACAATATATTCCTGACCTGATGTATTAAAATCAAAACTTACTTAAAAAGCAAATATATTTTTGTTCAGTGTTGCATTAAATATTTTTTAATTTTGTTAAAAAAAAAACAGTTTCTTTAGTTAAATAGAACAATGTATGAGGACATTAAGTGTTATAAGGTAAAGGCATCTACATCTCAGAATTAAATCGGGTTCTAAAATTGACAACATATTCCCAGATATTAAAAAAAAAACTGCGTTTACGAGCGATTTTTTTACTGCAAGATCTTTTAATGAATTGACTATATATCTTTGCGTAGCTATATCATCAAAATCTAGAGAAATGAGTATACATTTCAAAATAATTGGTTAGTTTTGCGTCAGCAGCTGGTCTGAATCCAAGCTTTATACATGGACTCGGAATTAAGAAACGACACTTTTTGGTATGGAACGCTATTCTGATATATAGTAGGTCGGGTAAGGTTCTATGAGCACCTCATTCCGCGGCATATACACACGCAAAATACAAAATGTTCACAATTTTACGCTACTTGCTATGCACCTTCCTTTAGTTTTAGTAATGCGTAGGTTTCTATTTCATTTATTTGTATAATAACTTTCACAAATTTACATAAAAAGTTGTAAATATTTATGTATAATAATTTGCAACTAATTTAATTTAATAATATTATTTACACAATATCTTCCTTAAGAGAGAGCCACCTATTGTTTGTACTACTTTACCTTTACATTACCCTGTACCTTATTCCTTACATATTCTTTACTTAAAAAGTATGATTTTATCCGTCACGCGTGTTAAAAATTGTAAATTTTTCACTTTTATAGTTTTTACGCGGTTGACCCACACTGCAACTATATTATGGTTGTAGAACGAATAGGTCAGCTCGACCGGAGTAGGACCACGATCTCTAAATTTTTATTAGTACAGCGTGGTTATTTTGTTAAAGATTGAAATAAAATCATAAAAATAAAATTTATAATATTTCGCATTTTTTATTATGAAATTTAGATACTTTTTTAATTCCTTATTAATTAAAATGTGCCCGGAGTTTAAAATAAAACTGTATTATTTCTGATATACTATTGTCGGCTCGGTGTGTAAATCTATCATATTTGAGTGAATCATAATGAATCAAGTGAAACATCTTTTTTGAAGTGTCTATGTAATCAACATGATATTTTTAGTTTTGTTCTATTTTACTTTGAAAAATGTATGAGCTGTAAGTAAATACACCAAACCTAAATAGTAACATGTAAATGAATGTTCATAGCAGAAAATGTTTAAATAAATAAATACATATACGTACTAAGGTAACAAATAATTTAATCGTATACTAAATTGTACAGATATGTTTGCTCTTGTGTTAATTTATGGAATTTATGGCTGATTTTATTATCGTCAAATAAAGTTATCCATCGAGTAAAATATAACCCGACAGAATATAAAATAATTGAACAAACCTATTGAACAATTTTATTCACACAATTGAATTTTTTAATTTGTTTATGTTATATTTTGTCCTATGAATAAATTTTATCTGAGGATTTATTAATTGGATCTAAATATAATATAGTTTCGTTACATTAAAGATAAATAAATAAATAAAATATTATGTAATAAGAATATTAAATTAAATGTAAATTCTGAAACTTTCTATACTGCATGCTTTCTTATAAATCTAAAATGTACATAATTTCATTGTGATGCGTCAAATTGAATATTTGATTGTACATAGAGTGCTGACAGTTTTATGGAACTTCAGAAATAAAACTTAAATGTAATTCCCATTTATACTGAAGCTAACAGATTCAAGTGCTAGGGTTCCTAAATTGTATTGACTCTTAATGGAAGATAGATGTAGATGTCTATGGACCACCGCAACCACTTATCATCAGGTGGACTGTGTGCTCGTTTGTCACATTATTCCATAAAAAAAGAGACGAATTTATAAACTTCAAAGATAATATGAATATTGAGTGTTGAAAGTAATGTCTCAGTCCTCAGAGGTGACAAGAACCTGTAGCCCTCTTTGTTTGAATTTGGTAGCAGGTGTCCACGAGCTGCAGTAGTCACTTACCATCAGGTGTACTGTTAGCTCGTGTTACTTCGAATTCATAAAAAATTCAAAATTTATGTTTGTAATTATTTGTAATTATG